AACCCTGACCCCCAGTAGATCACCAGACCAGTCCACAGGTACAGGGAGATGTGTGGGCTGACATCTGCAGGCCACCCTGTACTATGGTGGTTCTCACCGTGCAGCTCGGAGAAGGCACAGTACTCTCCACCATTACCGCTAGTACAAGCAAAGTTTGTAAGAGTCATACCTAATCAACGATTTAGGGCAGTCCAAAAAAGGAATCATTTTAAAGCAAATCTCACCCTCCAGTTTCTGTTGTTACAATGTAAGTAGTATAAATGAATATTTGATAACTGCATAAATGAACACATCTGAAATAAGTAAGTGCCTGGAAAATGAACATAAACACTAAATGGTGGAAATGAAATGAGCGATTCTGTTCAATGAAACACATGCCATTTGTTAGCATTCTGTATAGAGTAACGGCATCTCATGGTAATTTCGAATGAACGTGATAAAGGACGCATGTACACAAGCATATAAACTGATGGTTGTGCTCAGCACAGCCTAAGTACACTTCCTTGGGCCCGTCCTCTCAGCACCTTAACACATTACATTTGAACAATATTGCTTGACTATTCAACATCTCCTTCAGCAATTTTTTCACATTGAGACTGTGTTCCTGGGGTGGAAGAAATCCTTCTCCATGTGTTTTCTTCTCAGAACATTAAGCATATTAGCCTAATTATGGTCCTCTTCCTCTCATTCTTATTCATCTGGAACATTTCCAATTGTCCTTTCCATGGCTAATTTTGGATTAGGACAAAACGAATCAGATGGAATCCCAGTCAGATTGGACTGTAGAATTTAGAATAAAAGAGTATAGGGGTGTTTGTCTTCCAAATATCTAATAGTGTTTTAATTCATAAATGAATCTCTTTAAAGGAAAATTGTGCATAAAACTTCCTGTTTTAATCACAGAAAAATAACTGGAATTGCTGGAAATTAAGGCTCATGAATATTTCATAAACTGACAGTTTCATACATTTAATTTTGTGAAAAACATCTCTTGATGAACAAAGTTCTCAGAGCCTGCTTAAAAGAATAAACAGCCTTGTATACGATTAGAACAATTATTTAGCATTAAATCAGTATTTTTCTATCTATGAAAAGTTTGAACAACTAAAAAAGATAAGCAATCTTTCTTAAACTTTCAATCTTAACATAATGAATTTTGTTTCAAGTATCAATTCATTTTAAATAGTACAAAAGTAAACATTTGCTTGGATCACTTTGAATTATAGCCAAATCCAAATTAGTAGGCTCTAAATTCTCAAAGTTCTAATTCTAGAGTAAACATTTGCTTGGATCACTCTGAATTATAGCCAAATCCAAATTAGTAGGCTCTAAATTCTCAAAGTTCTAAATTCTAGTTTTAAAAAAAGTAAATCTTACAAAGTTCTAATTATTAATCCTGCAAATTGGGAGATATGTAAACTTGAAGCCATACCAAGTGAGCTGGTAGGAAGCTTTGTCCCCGTGCCAGGTCTACAATTGGCTCACTACACCAGCGCAGAGACTTCAGAGTTGTTTTTTTTTTTTTGTCCCCTGAATGTTTCAGGAACAGAATTATCACATGTTTTTAAAAGGGCTTTGTTCATCTGATTTTTGAAATTGCATGTTTTTATTATTTCAATGCTATAATAATATATAAAATCATATAGCATGTATAAATTAAAATGCATAAAATTCATTTTCTTGAGCAGTCCCTCTCCACTTATGTGTATTTCAGATATTCTTGTATTCACATTTGTTCCCTTCATTCCTTTACCCTGACTCCTCTTTGTTTATCATTCTTTTGATTTTTAAAGACTTATTTAATTGTATTTATTAGAATTATTATTTTAATTGGACCAGAGAGAGAAAGAGAGAAAGAAAGCAAGAGAGCAAGCTGCCAGGTCTGGAACTTGAACCACAGTCAACCATGTGGGAATCCAGTGCCTTAAACACCATGTCACCTGCTGGTCTCTCTTTGGATATTTTATTTTTATTTATTTATTTCTTAGAAAGAGATTCTACTATAGGGCATGTGTGCTTGCCAGAGAAACAAAGAGAGACAGAAAGTGAGAAGCCACCCCCAGTGGGGAAGGGCCAGGCTGCAATCCCCCTCCGTTCTCCTCTCGGGATCTTGGACATGCACACACGCACACACACAGCCCAGTGTGGGTTTTAAGCTACCAGGTCCAGGATTTGAACCATGGTTGACTATATGGGAGTCCAGTGACATAACCATTACACCATCTGCTGGTCCCAATGTTTTAACAAATAGTTTCATCAGAAGTGTTTATCTCCCTAAAAGTTATTTCTTTTTGCTTTCAAATTCTGTGAAAGTGCAATACATCAATCAATTCAAGCCCTGAATAATCTGTAAAGAAAGAACTTGAACTGAGCTCTTGGGAATTGCAATTTGGGAAACCTCAATTTGGATAGAATTAAAGCAGCGCTCTGGAGATGTGAGGGAAATTGGAAGCTTATATGTCAAAAAATTTTAAATCATACAAGATAATTAAAATTAGTTAAACCAAAACTTTAGCTGAAGTAGGACAACGAATTCAAGGACTACAAGGGCATTGGTTTCAATTTAAACATAAGTACATAAATAAAAGCCAAACCGATTTCCCAGGGTCCTTGAAGCCTATAAGTGGAAGCAACATTCTTAGGTATTACACACAGATCTCTTTCTTACTAACTACCCAGATGCTGTCATTTATAAGCTACCACACAATGCTAACGTTTTATGAACATTAAACACCTTTCACTCCAATCAACAGTGTGTTAATATCTGATCAGCACCCTTTCCAACAGTTTGTAATGCCGGACTACAAGCATTAGTAATCTAATGAGTGGAAGAGAATACCTCATCTCATTTTTTTTAGAGAGATTTTTGCTATAGGGTACATGTACTTGCTGGAAAGAGAGAGAGACAGAGAGACAGAAAGCAAGAAATCATCCCCCGGGGGTATGGCCATGCCTCAATCCCTTCTCCATTCTCCTCTTGGGATCTTGGGCATGCATGCACATGTGCCCAGCGTGAGTTTAAGCCACCAGGTCCGGGACTTGAACTGCAATCAACTATATGGGAGTCCAGCAATGTAGCCACTATGCCAACTGTTGGTCCCCCAGAGTGAGTTTTAAGCCGCCGGGTCTGTGACTCAAACTGCGGTCAACCACATGAGAGTTCAGTGACATAACATTATGCTCTCTGCTGGTCCCATCTCAACTCATTTTAATTATTATTTTCTGACAACATCTGAAGTGTAACCTATTTGTTTGTTGTTATTATTTTTAATGTCTACTCAAATATTTAATTATATTTAATTATCTTATATATTTAATTATCTTATTAGATACATGTAAGCTTGAAATCCTTATGTCTTCCTGAACTTTAGCAAACGTGGTGACGTGTTCCCGCACTCTGCCTTTCTCCCGCGTTAACGTGACACGGTGAGTGCTGAGCGCTTGGTAACTGCAGGCGACCAGGGCTGCACAGAGCGCAGGCCCCCTCCTGGGGACCACTGCAAGTATTTTGACGGCTGCTTCCTTCGATCGTTTAGGTGGCCAGTGACAAATACTAGCAGAAGTAAGAATCCTAAGGGGCCCTAAAAGGTATGTTTAAAAGCTCAAACTTGTCCGAAAATTGGGTCTGTCTGTTTAGGCTGTGTCACTGCAGGTGTAATTCAGGCTCATAGCACTTCCTCTGCTGTCCCAGAAAAGGTCAGTGTATGTGTGTGCGTGTGTGTGTGTGTGTGTGTGTGTGTGTGTGTGAGCGCGCGCCTGTGCTCAACATTATTTGACAATTCTGTATTCACGCTATGTCCACTCTCCTCCTAGGGACTGTCTTGATAAAAGCCTGAATTTCTTCAAGATCCAGTCTTTAATGGAGTCTAAGCATCAGCTCAGCTTCCGTCCACTACCAATGGTGGTTCTGATATGCTAGAACTTAACACAGGCCCTCGGAGAGTAATTGCTTCAGAAATTGACATACGATCCAATTCAGGACAGTGACTAAACCTAAGCAGAGGTTTCCCGAGCTTCCTGGAAAGGCTTCCTGTGTTTTGGAAGTAACAGGTTAGAGGAGGCTGAGAACATGGCTCTGCTTTATCTTGTAGTCAATTTTTAAAAACAATTGATTTTTAAAATCATTATTGTTTCAAAGAACCCTTCACAGTAGGCTATCAGGTTTGTTGAGCAGGGATCACAGCTCTCTTATTCAGCCCCCTGGCCTAGAACCTGACCCAATTCCTAAATGTGTACATCCATCTCTAAGGGAAGCCTGCGTGTACCTGTACACAGCAGGAGGGTAACAAGACTAGCGTGACAATTTAGACTCAACAGCGAGCACGAAGGTGAGCTAGAGAGATTTCATTTGTTAAATTGTAAGAAAACAATGAATGTGGATGTCTCAGTTTGCTATTTATGAAAACTAGTGTAGTGCGAGCAGTGTTAGGTTTGACATCTTCAACGTTTTTGTTGTGGGTTTAATTTAACAGAGGTTTGCTAATACATAATAAGTTCTATTCTGAAAATATAGTTGAACACTCTTTTTTTATAATGTAAAAGAAATTTTCACCATAATAACATAACCAGAACTCCTTTTAAAATGACCATATTTTAAATCTAGTGTCAAACACCAATTTACTTTTTTTTGCTAAGTGGACCCAATATTTGAGATAAACATTAAATAAGATATAATTTTACCTTATTAATGCAGCATATGAACAGCATCAAAGGGCACAGACCCCGTTCAGTTCAGGATATTTCTTGTACTAAGGTCAGTAGAACTGCAACGACTCAACCATGATTCGGCAGCTGTTAAAGAACAGGTTGATGTTTAAACTCTTCTCTGGATAGCAAGCGTCCCTGTTCACATATTCAGCTAAAACTATTGCTGAAAAATGACACTGGGTGCAATTTCCATGTCTCTTCTTTTAAGAGTATGTTTGATTTATAAAAATTAACTAGACTTAAAAGTAAGGCATTTTGTGCCAGGATTTCATTATCCCAGCAGATACTTCACATCAAACGTGCAATTTTTTTGCACTTATCAACTTTTCTTCAAATAAAATTCTTACATTTTTCAGTTTATGCTATTCATGTAGAAAATTTCTTTTAACCTGAGCTATTGGCTGAAAAGAGAGATATTTTTAATGTAATTTCTATTAAAGAGTAGAAAGCGTTCCTGGCCTGATTTATATATATACACACACGCAGAAAGTCCCAGGACTTTTACGGGAGGATTACATTTCCCTTAACATAGTATGTCAGTCAAGGATTTGACTCAAATTAATATGATTATAAAAACAAACAACAGTGGTTACTGATTACAAGACAGTTTCAAGATTTCTTTTAAAATGGCAAACTGTATTAAAATACAGCTTTCTAAATGTGAATTCACAGGATTCAATAACTGGGTACCCCTAATTTTTTCACTCGCTCTTTCAGCAGCGGAAGATGCTTCCTTTCTGATTCAGAAATAAGGCCACTCTCAAATCTTCCTTTCCTGACTTTGTTATGTCCTTCACCAATTGGTATGACAGAGTCTTTTAATTCATTGATTTATCCTTTGTAAGAATTCAGTGTAACTTGGGGCCACCAGGTGGTGTGGTGGTTAAGGCACTGAACTTCCACAGGTCCAACCGTGGTTCAAGTCCTAGACCTGGCAGCTTGCCTTCTCACTTTCCCTCTCTCTCTGTGTCTCTCTTGGCTCAAAATAAAAGAAAATAATTCTTAAAAAAAAAAAAAAAGAATTCGGTATCAGTGTGCTTTGGCGGCCTGCAGTTGACTTCTCCACCAATAGATATTAATTGTTAGTTGTCATTTCTCTGAATGTTGCCTTACTCTCCAGAAACTGAGTTTTTTTAGTTCAGTTACATGACTTTCTCTAGTTCTCTGTTTTGGATAATTGGAAAAATAATATTTTACTAATGAAGTTTTAAGAGGTGGAGACAACTGGTTCAAGAAGATACAACACACAGGAGGTGACTCATTCAGCTCCAGGTGGGGACGGCACTGAGCCGAGGGCAGCCATTTCTACTCCCCTCCTGCCCCACTCCCTGGGCCAAGGCTGCGTGTCACTTATTTTCACAATCTAGTTGCGAGCTTTGTGTGCTAGAAAGATGTTTGCCAAATTGACCTGAAACTGAAATAGAAGATGAAAGAAAAATACCAGAATCATTCAAGAGAAAGCATTCTCCTTGACTTATATCATCTGATTATCTCAGGAGAAATTCCCATTTTTATTTTCTTTTCTGGCCTGAAATTTCAGGTAATGACCCTAAATCCTCCAATTCAGTTTGTGTGCAAAGACTCAGCCGAAGATGAATATTTATGGCTTTCCTTAGGAGCTGAAGTATTTTGGCAGTTGTTCAGCTCGCTAGATGTGCTATTAACACAGCACAACTGATTCAGCAATCTCATTCAGGTGCAGGCGTGCCTACTGCCGCAGACCTCCTGCAATAATCTGGAAAAATAAGCAGAAAAATCAATGATTGCACAGTTATATAGTAATTAGGAATAGGCTCCATAGTGACTAGAAGTGCTTTTCTTAATTGTAATTTCTCCCTCTTTTATTCTACTTGAGCTTTAAGTTATAACCGACTCCCTTCCCTGAATTCTTCATGACATTCTCATATAGTTTTGTAGAAGCATACACAAAGAATAAAACAGATGCTAACTCTCTTCTTCACCTAAAACACAATTAAAGAGAACACACAATCAGCCCAAGAGAATAATGTTAGCTACATCACCAACAATCAGCCTTTCTCACTTGCTATATATTGTTATTTCTACTTGCAAGACATGTTTGCCCATTCAAACAGCATTCATCTTATAGTTTACATATCACATTATCTGAGAAACTCTTAAGATGTGATGCTGTGGAGTTGGCAGGTTGGTGTGGTGGTTGAGGTGCTGGACTCCCACATGGTCAACCACAGTTTGAGTCACAGACTTGGCAGCTTGCTTCATCACTTTCCCTCTCTCTCTCCCTGATCAAAATAATAACTACAAAAAAATTAAATTAAGTAATTCTTAAAAATGTATATAATGCTGTAATCACACAGTTCATCTATTTAGATGACAAATATGCTCATAGTTCTTTTATATTTCTAATTGCTTGAGAATATACTGACATTAGTTGCAGAAAGTGTTGTCTCTCTCTTACCTCACCCACCCCTTCTGTGGCCAGTGACAAATACTAGCAGAAGTAAGAATCCTAAGGGGCCCTAAAAGGTATGTTTAAAAGCTCAAACTTGTCCGAAAATTGGGTCTGTCTGTTTAGGCTGTGTCACTGCAGGTGTAATTCAGGCTCATAGCACTTCCTCTGCTGTCCCAGAAAAGGTCAGTGTATGTGTGTGCGTGTGTGTGTGTGTGTGTGTGTGTGTGTGTGTGAGCGCGCGCCTGTGCTCAACATTATTTGACAATTCTGTATTCACGCTATGTCCACTCTCCTCCTAGGGACTGTCTTGATAAAAGCCTGAATTTCTTCAAGATCCAGTCTTTAATGGAGTCTAAGCATCAGCTCAGCTTCCGTCCACTACCAATGGTGGTTCTGATATGCTAGAACTTAACATAGGCCCTCGGAGAGTAATTGCTTCAGAAATTGACATACGATCCAATTCAGGACAGTGACTAAACCTAAGCAGAGGTTTCCCGAGCTTCCTGGAAAGGCTTCCTGTGTTTTGGAAGTAACAGGGTAGAGGAGGCTGAGAACATGGCTCTGCTTTATCTTGTAGTCAATTTTTAAAAACAATTGATTTTTAAAATCATTGTTTCAAAGAACCCTTCACAGTAGGCTATCAGGTTTGTTGAGCAGGGATCACAGCTCTCTTATTCAGCCCCCTGGCCTAGAACCTGACCCAATTCCTAAATGTGTACATCCATCTCTAAGGGAAGCCTGCGTGTACCTGTACACAGCAGGAGGGTAACAAGACTAGCGTGACAATTTAGACTCAACAGCGAGCACGAAGGTGAGCTAGAGAGATTTCATTTGTTAAATTGTAAGAAAACAATGAATGTGGATGTCTCAGTTTGCTATTTATGAAAACTAGTGTAGTGCGAGCAGTGTTAGGTTTGACATCTTCAACGTTTTTGTTGTGGGTTTAATTTAACAGAGGTTTGCTAATACATAATAAGTTCTATTCTGAAAATATAGTTGAACACTCTTTTTTTATAATGTAAAAGAAATTTTCACCATAATAACATAACCAGAACTCCTTTTAAAATGACCATATTTTAAATCTAGTGTCAAACACCAATTTACTTTTTTTTGCTAAGTGGACCCAATATTTGAGATAAACATTAAATAAGATATAATTTTACCTTATTAATGCAGCATATGAACAGCATCAAAGGGCACAGACCCCGTTCAGTTCAGGATATTTCTTGTACTAAGGTCAGTAGAACTGCAACGACTCAACCATGATTCGGCAGCTGTTAAAGAACAGGTTGATGTTTAAACTCTTCTCTGGATAGCAAGCGTCCCTGTTCACATATTCAGCTAAAACTATTGCTGAAAAATGACACTGGGTGCAATTTCCATGTCTCTTCTTTTAAGAGTATGTTTGATTTATAAAAAATTAACTAGACTTAAAAGTAAGGCATTTTGTGCCAGGATTTCATTATCCCAGCAGATACTTCACATCAAACGTGCAATTTTTTTGCACTTATCAACTTTTCTTCAAATAAAATTCTTACATTTTTCAGTTTATGCTATTCATGTAGAAAATTTCTTTTAACCTGAGCTATTGGCTGAAAAGAGAGATATTTTAATGTAATTTCTATTAAAGAGTAGAAAGCGTTCCTGGCCTGATTTATATATATACACACATGCAGAAAGTCCCAGGACTTTTACGGGAGGATTACATTTCCCTTAACATAGTATGTCAGCCAAGAATTTGACTCAAATTAATATGATTATAAAAACAAACAACAGTGGTTACTGATTACAAGACAGTTTCAAGATTTCTTTTAAAATGGCAAACTGTATTAAAATACAGCTTTCTAAATGTGAATTCACAGGATTCAATAACTGGGTACCCCTAATTTTTTCACTCGCTCTTTCAGCAGCGGAAGATGCTTCCTTTCTGATTCAGAAATAAGGCCACTCTCAAATCTTCCTTTCCTGACTTTGTTATGTCCTTCACCAATTGGTATGACAGAGTCTTTTAATTCATTGATTTATCCTTTGTAAGAATTCAGTGTAACTTGGGGCCACCAGGTGGTGTGGTGGTTAAGGCACTGAACTTCCACAGGTCCAACCGTGGTTCAAGTCCTAGACCTGGCAGCTTGCCTTCTCACTTTCCCTCTCTCTCTGTGTCTCTCTTGGCTCAAAATAAAAGAAAATAATTCTTAAAAAAAAAAAAAAAAAGAATTCGGTGTATCAGTGTGCTTTGGCGGCCTGCAGTTGACTTCTCCACCAATAGATATTAATTGTTAGTTGTCATTTCTCTGAATGTTGCCTTACTCTCCAGAAACTGAGTTTTTTTAGTTCAGTTACATGACTTTCTCTAGTTCTCTGTTTTGGATAATTGGAAAAATAATATTTTACTAATGAAGTTTTAAGAGGTGGAGACAACTGGTTCAAGAAGATACAACACACAGGAGGTGACTCATTCAGCTCCAGGTGGGGACGGCACTGAGCCGAGGGCAGCCATTTCTACTCCCCTCCTGCCCCACTCCCTGGGCCAAGGCTGCGTGTCACTTATTTTCACAATCTAGTTGCGAGCTTTGTGTGCTAGAAAGATGTTTGCCAAATTGACCTGAAACTGAAATAGAAGATGAAAGAA